GTGCGTGCGTGCGTGCGTGCGTCGAGATTCGGTCGTATTTAAAAGATATATTAATATATAAATATTAATATATATATATATAAATTTTCGGAATCTTTTTTATATCTTTTATTTTAAGTTGTATCAATTATTTTACCAAGCTATTACCAATTTAGTATGATATATATACCGATGCAGTTTTAAATTCCGGCTAAGCCCGGTTTTAAATCCCTCAGCACGCATAAACAAAGCGACGTAGCGATCACTGACCCCCGCTAACCAATACGCGACGTATGTCCCGCTTCGGGCTTCCGCAGATCCGAGTTTCGCTCCATTCTCCATCCGCCTCGCTCGCAATCAATTCTCAGCAATCCCAGCCGCGGATTCCTGTGTCTATGGTAGAGATGTTCGATTCAGGTCGATTAAAAAAATAGATTCTTTTGCCTAGATCGAGCATCCCTAGTGTCGACGTTCCAATGTCGATATTGTCGATCAATCGCCTCTGTCCTCGCCTAAGAATCGATTGTCCTTCTCGATCGACATTCGCCGAGCTTCAGGTCCTCGATCGCGAAGAATCTTTGCGCGACATAACCTCATTCTCATTCTGAAGTATCTGTCGGAATCTGTCTCCACGTAAATCATGCGATCGCGTAAAACGTCCGTATGAAGGCACGATTGGAAAGTGTACGGAAGGGAGGTCGAGGATTACGACATCTTGAAACCTGCACAATTAAGTTAAATTAATTTTTAATGCTATATACATATATATATGTACATATATATTGTATAGTGTTTACATACTACGAGGTTACTCGCACTTATGTCAGGATTATTCTAAAAAAAATTGTTAGCTTCCGTCGCGGCACAGTCAGCATTCAGCATCCGGCACGCTAGAGTTCCGGGCGCTGCTAGTGCGCCCCGAAACTCGAAAGGGTGAGAAAAATACGGCCAGCAGGGAAGAGAAAGAGAGACGGAGGATCGCAAAAGGGACACGCGCGCATTGCATTACGTCAGGTCAGGACGAGTGACAGTGAGAGAGCGAGAGAAGGGGGGGAGAGGGAGAGAGCGAGAGGGGGAGGGAGGGGGAGAAACGGCGTCTCTTTACATCTGCGCATTTCTCGCGTTCGTTCAGGGGAAAACTCCAAAACAAGCAACATGGCGGACCCGAGCAACGAGCCCGCATCGTCGAGCGGCGTCGCGGAGCAGGTAGTCCCGCCGTTGTCGCGGCCCCGCTGCGCGAGGAACACGACAAGCCCGAGGACTTCCACGAGCCTGACAAGAAGCGGCGCAGGACAATTCGCGCCGAGGACGCCGCAAAAACGGAGCAGAAGCTGGAGCACCGTCTGGGCGGCATCCTCTGCTGCGCAGTATGCCTCGATTTGCCTCGCGCGGCCGTCTATCAGGTAGGTCGGTCCTCCCTTCTCCTTTTCCACCTCCTCCGCCTGGGAGGTCTGGCATGTAACGAGCAGCTCGTGTCGTTATCGGGAAGATAAATAGAAAAAAAAACCTGTCCTCAAATTTATGACGTCCGAAATTCGCGAGTCGAGACGCGCTGGACAATCGCAACGTGCGATACCACCTTTCCCCTCACATCCCGCGTCGTCCTACTCCCTATTCGTGTGGCAGTCCATCGACCCGTTTGAGGTCGATTTTTAGAGCGACGTTACGTTACGTTGACGAGATTGGTCGCGATCCGATCCAAGAGAGCCTCGTTTCCTCTGCGGAACATCGGTCCAGGTCGTTTGTCGTGGATACGTTCTGCTAGGTACTCGCCAGGCACAAGTGTGGCCGTTCACCTAAGAAGGTTCTGTCTTACATCGCTCAAGTTGCATCCCATTCGACACCGCGTCGATGATCCTTCCAAAAGAAGTGCGACCGAGTCGATTAAAAGCTGCAGATATCTCGCATTGAAACGTACGCTTTTAATTCTGAGAAAGTTTGTATATACGCCATGCAAAAGCAGAATCTTTCATCGCGTTATTATTGCTACATTACTATTCACAGCAGACTGCGTTCTTCTCCTTCTCCTCCTTCAAATTTATCCCTCTACTGAACATTCTTTTTCTCTCTCTCTCCGTTTCCATCTTTTGCTTTTCCTTATTTTTTTTCGCCGTGACAAGTTGGAGTGGCTTGCAATCTAAGTATGGAACTAATGAATCGTCTCTGTCGAATAGTTGCATTTTTTTTCTATTTTGTTATTGGCAGTCTAAATGTGAATCGTAACATGGATCTTGATACTAAGCTGGATCACTCTCCTTATGTGTTTTTTGTCGACAATATTAAAATATACGCCGAAGTAGTAATATAATCATACAGTCCCCTGTTTTTTTTTCATAAATTGAGCTTTATACACAGGTCAAATAATGAGTTTGTCTATTGAGACAAGACAAGATATGTTAAGTTTTCCGCAGGTAGGTGATTTTATATTTTTTTCTTTATATTAAAAAAGATGACTGAATTCAGCAAACTCAACAGTTGAGTGAGCGCTCACTACTATTGATGTATTCTTCTAGATCTAAAGTCTGATTGGGGATGATCTAGAAGAATACATTAATAACAGCGAGCGCTCACTCAACTACTAAGTTTGCTAAACGCAGCAAAAGACATGCTGCTGATGTATTTATCAGTGAATCGCTGTGTGACAAACTTGTGTGATGTACGAGAGAAATTTTCTCTTTTGCAATATTCACAGATTTGAAATATTAAAACTAAGACACATATGCGCATATTTTTACTTTGAAAGATCAAATATTTCACTTACTTAAGAGAGAACATTTTTTTTTTCTGATATGAAAAGTTACACTCAGAATTTTCTATGTGCGCATTTGCTATATTTTCGCAGTTAATTATATTGGTCCCCTCATTATAACTGTGCCTGCGTATAACGTGGTATTCATAATTAATTTCAACTACTGGAGAGAGAGATATAGGTAATACCTCTTGGAACCCCTAAATAGGTACCTTGAACAATCTTTGGACGCTCAATATTATTATACAGTTATTTTGTACAATATTATTGATACTCCCTTTGAACAGTTCAAAACTGAAAGCTCAATATAGCCATCAGATAATCAATAATATTGTGCAGTATCATGTTGTGCAATAATATGGGTTGTCTAGGGGCTACTTTAGAGAGAATGTAAAGCAGCATTCTCGAGTTGTTGTGTGTATGCATGCAGCTACTCATACTTGTTTAGAACGTTGATCGCAAGAGGGATACACGGTGAACTGTTTGTAGATATTCCTTAGAATCCGTTCCGAATTAATTTTTTATCTCGATACATCTTTCTTTAGAATACCGACGCGAAATATATGGCGTAAAGGGATTTATAATAACCATTGTAACGTAATATGAGAGGTTGTGTCACTTATTCTCATATTCTTAATGTTAAACGGACATGTGTGTAAACTCATAGTATAAAGTCCCTTATGCAGACGCACGTAGACGTTTTCATTTATAACACTGAAGACTTATATTTATTGTATTCTTTTAGTTGTAAATTTCTACAAACACCCCACACACACTCTGCCCTTTTTTCTTTTTACATAAAATCCATCGCATTTATAAAAACGATATTTGTTTCTGTGACTTACAGAATAGCGGGGGTTGGAAGCCCCGTGTTTCACTTATGAGGTTTGTTCGCGTTACATGCTCCAACATGTTCCAATATGCTCCTACTATAGCTCTTACTCACTCCAACGCGCTTGATAGAGTGAGTAGGAGCTATGGTAGGAGCATGTTGAAATATGTTGGAGCTTGCGACGTGAACAAACCTATAGTGTCTCTATTAAAACGGTTAGATAAAATAGTGAAGTATAATACTTAAGATTTTAGATCTTTGTAGTTGTTTAGTATATAATATATAATGATATTTGAATCTTACGAAACGCTATGTTTAATATAAGAGACTATCGAGAAGCAGGGAACATATTCAGAGAGCACAAATGAGAATATAAAGGCTTATTGTTAAATTAATGCGAAACCGATGTCCATCAGTTATAGTCAACAGCGAGAGAGTGAGAGTGAAGGAGAGAAAGCGAATACAGAGAAACAAGACAAAGATCTGTACAAACTGTATAGTGCAAAACAAAATAAATATTCTTAAAGGTTATTAGTTAGTTATTTCGCATAAAACACCCCTTTTCACTTGTCCCACGTGTCATCATCCTCGTTTCTTCCCTTCTGTCATTGATATATTGGTATTGTTAAAAATAATTTTTCTTAGAGAGTACTCGTGATAACTTAAACAGACCATCTTGATAAATACATGTTGACAGTTGTGATTAATGAGTATCCGTACGATTTTGTGTTTCAGGTTTAAACATCAAAGTGATGGTAATATACATAGCATTAATTTTTTGGTTCTATTTGGGTTTAATTATGATTCTGGGAGTTCCTGTAGTGTACGCAAATAAGAATGCGAAATAGAAGATGAATATGCGTAACAAAACGTTGAGTAGAAAAAAAACCGGCTTGTTGTTAACATGTACATTAAATTAATAACGTCGGCTATGTTTCTCGTGAAAAGTCATTAAAGTTTGTAATATATTTAGAAAGTTATACACACATTTTAAATAATACATTCGCTTATGAGAATACAACATACATATATGAAGAATTAGCTGTTTAATCTTCTAATATCTTCTAATATATAAAAAAAAGAAAGTTAACAAAAGATTAATAATACAACAATAATACAACAAGAACGTTAATAATACATGCTGCAATGATGTTCACAGTGTGCTAATGGACACTTGATGTGTGCTGGTTGCTTCACTCATGTCCTCGCAGATGCCAGGCTTCGGGACGAGATGGCAACATGTCCCAACTGCAGAATCGAAATCAGCAAAACCACCGCGTCACGAAATCTGGCAGTAGAAAAAGCCGTGTCTGAGTTACCAGCTGAATGTCAATATTGCGCGAAGGAGTTCCCACGAAATTCCTTAGAACACCATGAGGAGGCTATGTGCGAGGAAAGGTAAATTCGTAAGGCAAAATTTACAATTTTACGAGGATTTCTCATTGATGTCTCTAATTATAATGCAACTGATATCTCTATAATATAATTACAGGTGAACTGCGCCAATACATAGGCAATTTATTTAGTGTGCACATAACTTCCCTAAGTTTCCTAAAATTTAATTAGAAATGCATGTCCCAAATCCCTACATAAAAGTTTTCTCTCAACCTACTATGTTCTCCTTGTTGTACAACGTATTTGAGTATGCGTATGCTCATATCCAATGTCTAATTACTTGTACAGGATATCTAGTTGCAAATATAGTAGAATCGGTTGTCCGTGGCGAGGCCCGAATCACGAGATTCCGGAACATGAAAGTCACTGCGTTCATCCTCATCGTACGGGTGCGGACGTGATGGAGGCTTTGCGTGAGATCGATGCTCGTACCTTAGAAGAACGTAGGCTCTATGACAATGTCTTTGATCTTTTGTCCTACGAGAAAATCACGTTTAACGGTCTGTATCAATTCTTGAGCATTATCATAACGTTAGGCAAAACAATAAAATAATCTGTAGTTTATTAGATAGAAAATGTATGTCATATTTTTTTCCTAGCAGCAACGGAAACTACAATTGCATAAATAACTTTTTGTATCATGATATTAATTTTAGCTCTCTTGACTTACCTTTTTATCGTATCTTCTTTGCCTTTCTTAGCTACAGTTGTTCGAAGATTTATCAATTATCTGTAAAATTTTATCATTTGTAGATTTACAGATGAAGCCATATCGCACTGATGAATTTATTCATAAATTATTTTATGAAACCTCTCGATTTGGCGCTTTCAACAATCAGTGGGTAGTAAAAGCCAGAATCAACAGTAATCAACGCGATCCTACTCAAAGTTCAGAGCGAGACATAACTTACCAAGTACGAAAAACCGCATGTCTTTATAATTTCATAGAAAACTTATCATAGAAAGTATCGTTATTCATATATGTGCGCGTGTACATGAGTTAAGAGTACAAGAGATTATTGAACTAATCCGATAACGATATAGATATTGCGATCTAAGTATGAAAATATGTTTCGTAGCTGATACTAAAGACAAAAACTACTTATCCGCTACCAGTTTATTACTTGATCTTGAAAGGCCCGTTTGGCGATATGAAGGTTCATCCGAGAATTCACAGATTCGAATTTACCGAGCAAGAAAACGAGAGTCCGTATTTTACGTTACCGCTACCGGACACGGCGGAGTGTAATAGACTTCTTGCAGCTAAAGCCATCAGTTTTAGGTAAAAGATCGATCCTAGAGAAGAGTTACTGCAGAGTTACTTTATTACAATATAATACACAATAACTCATATGTACAGCGTGTAATTTTTCGTTTGCAGACTAATAATGTTCCTGGCGTCTAAGTAGCTTACAACGATGTATCTATTGTCAAGATTTTGTCACAAATGGATTCGATCGACGAGATCTTCTAGACGTAATGACAAATAACAATTATAGAGATCACAGAGATTTATAATCGTTTACAGTAGCGAGAGGGAGAGATATTGATCATGGTAATGATAATGATGATGAAAAGAGAAGAAAATGCTAATATCACTGTAATGTTTAAAAATACATGTTGAGTATGTTGACGAAGATAAATATATATAAAATTAATACAATGTGACATACATAAAAAGCACGGTAATACATATAAGTATTTGAGAAATTAGGTTGAATTGCTTTATATTTCCCTTTTACATCAAACTTTTACATTAAAAAAAAAGAACAAACTAAAGATTAGAGAGTAGTTTATGTAGATTATTCTTAGATGATAAATTATTGTAATATTGTACGTACCAATTGTGCAATGTGCTTATACCCCGAGGTTAAAAGCTAAATGATCAGTATCTTAGATAATTAATTTAATATACATACCCCTGTCCATGAAGAGCCTATTGTTTTTCTTTTATTTAAATGAATAAAACGCTATTGATGTAAAATTCCGAATAAAAGTTGTAATTGTAATAAGACTAAAACTACTTTATTACATCCAATTCACATTGATGTAGCGTTAAGTCATTTTTACACATCGAAGAACAATATCGAACAAAAAGTAAGGTCTCTATGATAATTCTTACGGATTCCTAATTTGTGATGCGTGTGGCACATTAGAAATTTTTTCTCTATAATTCTCAATTGCAATCTTTTTATCTTTCTACCCTAAAGAGCTAAATATTAATTATGATAATTCTGCCAAGTTGATGAAGGTGTTGTTGCTTGTTTTTGAGCCGTTTGTATTATTCGGTGGAAAGATTAATGGATTGAGATTGTTCTCGGGTTGGCTGCTACTAAGTCTGCGATATTTCGGCATGACCAATCTGGAATCGGGTTCCGAACAACCGGTCAACCAGTAAGATGTCACCCTACCCTTTCCCTTCAACTCCACCTCTCCTCTGAGCTCAAGATCGAATGTCCCAAACTTATCCAAGATATTCTTCGTCGCTTTGGAGACATGTATTCTCAAAGCTATGAAACAAATTATATAATTAAGCTTGTATTTAATTTTTAATTTTCTACGTGGGATTAAAAATTTTGACGGAAAATCTTTCAATTTTTAAAGCTTAACATTTGTTTTTTTTTTGTTGTTATTATTTAATATACAGGATTTATCTTACGAAGACCGGAGGATTCCATTCGAGACGCCGTGTTGACGGTGTCGCCGAAGAGGCAATAATGCGGCATCTTCTGACCCACCACTCCAGCGCAAACCGGACCACTATGCACGCCGATCCGTACACTCAATTGAGTATTCTGTTTGTGCATTATGGTGAACGATCTAACGGCGTCCAATATCGCCAGAGCCATCAGTCCAATCTCCCTCGCGTGTTCGTCGCCGTTTCTCTCTGGAAGACCAGACGCCACCATATACGCGTCTCCTATTGTTTCCACCTGTGAATCAATCTCAAAATCAATTTCAAGATCATTTCTTTTCTCAAAGTCATTTCAGAATTTGTTATTAGAGTTCAAGTTTGGAGATTAAATTACTCTGGCGCAAATGCGCTTCTTTCTTCTAAAATGAATCATTTATGTGTCTTTATTTAGTTTATTTTGTTGCATGTCTACCTTGTAAACGTCGTAGAATCCAATAATACTGTCGAAGGTACTGTACAAATCATTCAGGAAATCCACGACTTCCATAGGTGTGCTCTGCGCGCATAGTGCCGTGAAACCGACGATATCGCTGAAGTAGATGGTGACGCATTCGAACTGCTCCGGTTGCACCATCTCCCCAGCCATTAACTGACCGGCGACTTGTCTTAAAAAAAAAATCACTATTAAAAAAGGCGAAATGCCGAGGAGCTAGACGAAGCAACGATGAACGATTTCGATACCTCGGGAGCACCTGGTACAGCAATTCCTCGCTGCGACGCTTCTCCAAGCTCAATTGCTCGGTCTTCTCCTCGACGAGCGCCTCTAAGTTGTTGGCGTATTGCTCCATTCGCCGTAGCAAATCGTCCATTAAATTCTCGCAATATCCTCTGAAATGTGAATGCAATTTTTTGTAGTATATTTATATATATTTGTTTATATATTTTTACATTTATATTTTCTATAATTTAAGCATGGTATACGAGCGACTCAATCGTGGAGAGAAGATAACCAGATATGTATATAATAATATAAATATATTTAAAAGAGATCAAAGCACGATGTGACGTGAATGAGTCGTCCGTGTGAATGAGTCATCGTGGTTAATTGAAAATACACTATCGTTCTCCTGATTTGAAATAAAAGTACTTCATGATTCCTCGTATTGTGCCACGAATGGTGTGGAAGCTGGGTCGTTCGTCAGGAACTTCATGCCAACACTTCTCCATCAATAAGAGTATATCCGGCGGACAGTCCTTCGGCGCGACTTCCGGTCTTAAAGGAGGATTCTCCGACGCTGATACTCTGTTCACGATCTTCGCAGCAAAGGCATCAAAGTGATAAAGAAATCGCGCTAAAATTACATTTAAAAAACAAGAATGAAATGAATCGCACCTCTTGCGCCGTCATAAAAGTCCTGGCTATCTCGTACGGACCACCGCGGACTACTATCTCTTCCAGGATAATCGCGAAACTGTAAACATCGCCCTTCTGCGTCGCGGTGCTTCCTGGTGTTATCGTTAATTGCAGGAGTTCTGGAGCGATCCAAAGTAATTCTGCAAATAAAGATCCTATGATGTCAACTTTTAATACATCAATCATATATTCTTTCTAAATTCTTGGGGTGGAATCTCCAAAGAGTGAAAATTGAATCAGTCTTGAAAAATTTTTAATTTTTAAGAGTGAGATTTCATTCTTCAGAATGACAATTCACTCTAAAACTTTTGGAGAGTTTAAATCGTTTATATTTTTTGATGCAACTTACTGGTGTAATAACTCTCGTCCATGATCAATTCGGAAGGTGTGGTGAGAGTTTTGAGACCGAAATCTGAAATTTTTAATACGAAACGGCCGTCGATTAGACAATTACACGATCGTAACTTTCCGTGGGCGGAAACCTCGCTGGCATGAAGATAAGACATTCCCTGCGAAGAAGCAATCTCTTTATCATTTTCGCTTCATCTTGCTTATTCATGATGTACTATTTAATTACAACGCTCTATTATACATCAATGTAATATTAATTAAGATGCAATTAAGTTATATAAAAATAGTTAAATATGTTGAGGGATACATTTAATAATTTAACGGAAAACACAATTTCTGCACTTGTATCTACCTTGACGATATCGTGGATCAAGGACATTCGAAAATTCCAGTCCAATTTAATCGCCTCATTTTCTAAAACATCCTTCAACGATCCTCGAGGACAATATTCGGTAAGAATTAAGACAGTCGGTGATAGCGAACAAAGGCAAGCTCCGATAAATCTAGCGAGCAATTCAATTTATTAATAAATAGCAAGAAATTGACAGTTTAAAGCAGCGATGTTATATGTTGTTGAATATTTATCGAAGAAATCTTGTGAATGGTCATCCTTTTATTATATACGAGAAAGAAAAACACGGGGAAAAATTGTTTCTAGTGTTGAAAGACAAAATACCTCACGGTGTTTTCCGACGTGACGTCCCTGACCTGTTTGATTTCCCAGAGCAATTTCTTTGTCACGTCGACTACTTTCTTCTTCGTGATCTTTTTGATAGCTACTCTCTCGCCCTTATATATCCCAATAGTGGTAAAAACCGTCGTAGGAGGCAACGATTCACAACTAATCTGCGAACCGCGACGTATCCTCTGTTCTAATCCGTAATTCTATGATTAAGTAAAAAAATCAGTTAAGTTTTACGATTTATAAATCATATATAATTTTATTTTTACTTTATATAAATAAAATTAAGCAATTTGAAAGACTATAAATATGTTATACCTTGATCAAAAAGTTCCCGGAATTACCACCAGGTGATGTTCTGAGTTTAGCTGATTTGAGTTCTGTTTTTTTGGTTAGGTTGCCACATCTATCATTGACATTTCCACCAAATTTTATCGCCATAGCTTGACATTTGTAAAAGTTACGCCGTCTTGAGTACATCTACCTCTGTACGGTTTTCGATTATTTACAGTTTTAAAAATGGAGTTGAATTTGCAACATCCGTGAATTTTTAACCAAGGACAAAACGAATTAATACCATCCAACAGCCATCGAATTCACCCGATATGGCTCCCCGCGATTTTTTTCTGTTCGATCGAGTCAAAAAACCACTACTAAGAGGTAATGGAAAAATCGAAGACGGCTCTGATGGCTATACCGACGATAGAGTTCCAGAAATGTTTCGAGAGCTGGATCAAGCGCTGGCATAAGTGCGTTGTAGTCAATGGGGAGTACTTTGAAGGGGACAATATCACTTTTGATGAATAAACTTGTATTTTGAATTTTCTGAATGAATTCCGGGAACTTTTTGATCAAGGTATAAATGCAAGTACATATATAGTACAAGGTTGGCAAGTAATGCGTTACTTGTAACGCCGTTACTTTGTTGATCGTTACCTTGTTATAATAACAATTTGATAATGACATTGTGAATTTTTTATGATGGTAATGCTAACATCAGAATTAGAAAAGTCAATCGTTACTTATAATGGATTGAAAAAGTCATTCGTTACTGAAAAAAATAACTCCTAATTTGTAACGCGTTACTCGTTATACTTATAATTTTTTCGGTGTAACGCATAATAGTGACAAGTTACTTTTCAAAGTGACTTTTCTAACTTTAGTACAACCTTAGCGTTTAGTTAGTTAGCGTTATCGTAATAAAAAATTGCAACATCGTCATCAAATTGTTTACTATAAAAAGTAACGACAAAGTAACTGAAAAGTAACGTTTGCCAACCCTGATATAGTATATACATAATTCACATTGAATTATTTAAAAGCATTAAAGATCTAGCTTCGACCGGCCGGTATAGGCTTTTTAAATTTCTATTATTAATTGTGTTTCTCACATGGTACGGTCTAAAAATAAGATTCTTATTGTTTAAATTAGTAAAATTAAGTAATCTCTTATTGTTCTGCGTACGTCATACTCATAATTTATCGCTTACGTTTGCATCGGATATCGCTTGGTGTAGATTTATCTTCGACGAGAACTGCTTTCCAACTTCTAGAAGCAATTCTTCGGGTCTTACACGCCAGGACATGTTATTGAGATCGGCAGATAACCGCAAATGTCTGTGCAAAGAAATTTTTTTTTTTACGTCGATTAATATAATTTTATATTCTTCAGAAATATTTAATATTAAAAAATTCTTTGTTCATATCGGGGTTCCATGTTATATCAGGACTTTTTAGTATCGACATATTTAGCTTTATTTCTTTACAATTATTATTCAAAACTCCCGGATCGCGCGCGTGAATATAAAATTTGATGAATCACACGAAGCATACCTGTATAATAGACACGCAGCTGTAATCGCAGCGAGTATAA